ATCAGTCCGCCATTGTTTCACCGCCGGAGCAGATGCAGACAAGAATGACTCCTAAGCGATTGAGGTGTTCTGTTGTTGGATGTAATAATGAACATAGCAGTCGTCATTTACTCCCGACATCTGAGCCGCTGAAGACGCAGTGGATTACTTTTGTTTCTGAAGGGAATGCGCCCCTGATGTACATAAATGCGTCTATGTTCACGCTAATCATTCGTGATCCAGCTTCATTTACAGAAGAAGTGAGTATAAGGTTTTTTAATGAATCTTTGCAAATAGCCTTTCCTAATAACGTGCTAATTAGCAAGTTTCAATATCAACTTGTGGAAAATGGGCATCCGATGACCCCTTTAAAATCAGCTGCAAAGTGCAGACTGTATTTGCCAAGGTATACATTTAGAAAATATAGGGGCACAGAAAATCATTGAATTCTTTATAAAACATACTTTGTAAAACTCCCATCAGAGCCAGGGGCCTAGCTGCATTTTATTGATTTATGCCTATTTCTGCATTGAGTAAGTCCTAAACTAGGTTGAGTAGGTCACAACTATCTAAAAGGTTCTTATAAAGTGTTCAACCCAGCTACTCAACTTTGTGATATTTCCAACAGCCTCTGTTGCTCATGTTGCCTCAAGTTGCCAACTCTCAGAAATGAATGATTTCCAGTTGCTTTGCCATTGCAACTCAGTCACTGTGTGAATGTCCCTTTTTACTCCAGATCAGGGATGGGCAACTTTGGTTCTGGAGGGCCACTGTCCTGCAGAGTTTAGTTCTATCACTAATCAAACACAATTGTCTGCAATTTTCAAGCAATCTTGATGACTAAGGTTCCATTTTTCAGATGTGTTTGATTAGGGATGGAGCTAAACTCTGCAGGACATCTATCAGTAATGACGGAACTTGCTACCATAGTTGCTTTTGGGAAATGCACTACAGGACTGGAGTTGCCTGTCTATGCTCCAGATACCTAAACTTTTGTGTACCTAATATGTACATGGTTATTGTTTTTACATTTTTCACATATATGATGTGCAGTAAAATAAAATTCAAGACATCAGAGTTAATAAACGTGTGTGTGTGTGTGTGTTTACAGGTGTAGTTCATCATAAAATGTGGTCAGATGGGGAAAGTGATCAAGCTTCAGGAACCTCTTCTGATGAAGTTCAGAGTCCTGTTAGAGTGCGTATGCGCAACCTTCAGCAGCGCATCTCTAATGAGGTAATGCATGTACAATCTCAAGTGAGTAATAAACAAACATTCCAACAGGTAGACACACACTTAATGTTGTGCCCAAATTATAAGTTAAGTTAAGCACATGCTATATCTCAAACAAGGTGTTCTGCTATTTTCCCTGGAGGAACTCACAGCATGCAAACCTATGGTTCCTTAGTGCCAAAGGGGGTCAAATTTCTGTATATTTTTGTTGTATATATTTTTTTTTGAATAACTGTTTTAACAAGGAAGTTTTGAGTTCTGAAGCATACAATATGTTTTAAAAGTACAATGACCTCTTATATGTGAAAAGATCAGGGAAAAGGTGATTTATGAATAAGAAAAAAAAGGTTATGTTTAATTTTGAACTTTCATATTAAAAGTATTATTTACTATATCATTTAAAGGGTAACATCTGTTATTTGGACAGGATGTTTAGACCATCAGAACATCATCATCTGCAAACAGCAGCAATGCCACCCTAAGGCCCCCAAACTGGACACGCTCGGACACTTGGCTGCACCTTGAGATCCTGTCCATGAATACCACAAACAGGATCGTAGACAAGGGGCAGCCCTGACAGAATCCAACACTTACTGGGACTGGGACTGGGACATACTGCTAAGAATACAGACACAGCTCTTGCACTGATTGTATAGAGTGACTCCCTCAAGACACTCCGAGAAACATGGTCATAGGGCTTCTCCAAGTCTGCAAAACATGTAGACTAGATAAGCAAACTCCCATGCCCCTTTCCAGGATCCTTACAAGGGTAAAGATCTGTTCCACTGTTCTGGAACAGAATGCCTTTGCAGCACTCTGGCATAGGCTTTCCCAAGTAGGCTGAGAAGCATGAAGCCTTGATAATCGGAAACGCCCTCCATTCACCTTTTTAAAATAAAAGAACCACCACACCGGTCTGCCTTTTGCCAGGCCCTCTCCTTGATTCTCATGCACAGTTTGACTATATCCAAATCCTTCAGTATTTCAGAACAAATCTCATCCACCCCGGTGCTTTGCCACTTTTGATCCTTTTAACTACTTCAATGACTTCTTTCTGGAAACTGGGCTATGACTCCCCCAAGTCCTCTAGCCCTCTACTTGTGAGGGGAAGACCTCTGTGTTCAGAAGATCTTTACAGTGTTCCGTCCACCTCCAATATATATATTGCTGGGTGACGTCAGCAAGTTCCTGTCCTGAATTACAACAGTCTAGAGTCTAGACCAACCCAGGCTTCCCCTGAATAAGCCATCAGATGGTTTGTCAGAACCTCTTTGAGGCCAGCCAAAAGTATGGCTTCTCAGAGCTCTTCCTATGCCTGATTTTTTGCTTCTGCTGTCCTCCTAGCCTGCTGAAACCACAGGCTAATCAATCCCAAAAGGTCTCCTTTTTCTGCTTAATGGCCTCCCTTATTGTTCATGTCCACTGATGTATTCTTGGGTTGCTGCCATGACAGGCATCAACAACCACCCTCCAGCCACAGCACAGAACAGCTGTTTCAGCAGTAGAGGACTGTACCCACTCTGACTCAATTTCTCCAGCTTTCCTTGGGATAAAAGAATAGCTCCTCTCAAGGTGGGAAGTAAAGGACTTTCTGACAGGATTTTTTTGCCAAAGGTCCCAGTTCACACGCTTGATTTGTTTGGGTTTCCCATTTCGATTGCCAGCCTTTAGCCTAAGGTGTCTTGTACCAGGTACACTTATGAACCACCATATGTTCGAACATGGTGTTTGTTATGACCAATGCCATGCACAAAAGTCCAACAACGAAACACCACTCAGGTTCGATCAGGCAAGTTGTTCTTTCTAGTTATTGCCCTCCAGATCCGTCTTTTGTCACCAACATTAGTGTTGAAGTTGCCCATCAATACTATGGATTCACAAGGTGGTACCCTTTACAGGGCCCCACCCATGGTCTTAAAGAAGGCCAGATATAAGCACAGAACACAGTAAAAGTCTTCCCCTCTGTTTCACTGGGTCATATTGAGGCAACCCTCTCATTCATTGGGCTAAACCCCAAAACAATGGCGTTGAGTTGGAGACTTGTGATTCCCACACCTGTTCGCACCTCTCACTCTGGTCAACTCCATAGATGGAGAGAGTTCAACCCCTATCCAGGCGTTTGCTTCCAGAGCCGTGGCTCTGTGTGTAGTGAGGCCAACTATATCTAGCGGGTATTTCTCAACTTCTTGTTCCAACTCCCACTCCTTCCCCACCAGAGAGGCCACATTTATGCATCAATAGCTTGTCTGTTAGTGCCCAGCTTTAGTCCAGTGTTTTTTTACATTTTAGTTTAACCAGTTCAATCAACACTTCATTCCTTAGTGAATGCACTTTTCACACTCTTTTGTGTTGTTCTTTGTATGAATGACTTTACAGCAGAATTTACTGATGTTTGTCCCTCTCGAGAGCTTCCACACAGGATTGGCTACTGTTTGTTAGCAGCCTTTCATTGTCTTTCTTTGATCATAGTTTTTGCTAATGTGTGCTCACAATAAAGTTGTATAAGTGCACTTCCATCAGCATTCCTTTAAGATATATTCATCAAGAGTGCTGCCCCAATCAACTGCTCTTTGGCACATTATTTATTTCCTTCCCTTCCATTTCCTTTTCAGGATATCAATAAACGTCTCTCGCTGCCAGCAGATATTCGTTTGCCAGAAGGTTACCTGAAGAAGTTTGCAAAAAACAGCCCCCCATTTGACAAACCTCTAAGTCGAAGATTTCGCAGAACATCACTTGTGAGTTTTTCTTTGTCATGATCTATTAATTTGACATCATCAGATGTTTAGAATGTATTTCAGTTCTATACGTTGTATATATCGAGATCTGTTCTGTCTTGTTTTGAAGGGAATTATTTGATATGATAATTGTCATAATCTTGAATTTTACCTTGAGGATTGAAGAATATTAGTATTGACAAATTGAAAGTAATATATTTGTTTATACATGTTTAAAATAAGTGGCAGATGAAAGGCAAGGTGTTTTTTTAATCATTATGAAATTAAGATTGATCATGGTGTTAATTATTCAGGCAATTTGTATCAAATATACTATATAGAGGTCTGGTCTTCAGAATGGTAGTGAATTATTGTCAGTCATTTGTTGCAAAATTAACAATTTGGAAAATAGCAAAGGTTCCTTTAAAATCAAATAAAAACAGACAATAGAAGTACAATCAAGGGCTCTTTTGCATAAAAATAATTTAAATAAATTTTTTTAATTTTCATACAGTGTCTCCACATTAAGAGTCAGGTGTTGCAGTTGATTGGTCTTAAATTTTGATTTAAAGAAATGCTTTGACCTTAAAGGTAAGATTATGATATGTGGATGTTTAGAGTGATTGGTTTTTGTAAGTGGATCATAAAACTTCTTAACATTTTTTTTTTATTTTTTTTTTGCATTAGGCAAGTTACACCAATTTCAAGGTCTGTTCACACGAAGATGAATGATTGGTGCAAAATTGTGTGTGATAAACATTTTAATTTGAATGATCTGTTTTTTTTTTTTTAAATGGAGAGGAATCTTCTCTTTTCCATTGTTAAAAAACTACTAAAACCGGCCAATTAATAAGAGTCACGGTTTTGGTCGTGCCCGGAGTTGCTACATAAACGGTTACATAAAACTAATTGTATTCTCTAATAAATATGAGACTTCCTGTCTTCCTGTGGTTACATGACCAAAGACGGAAGGACTAATGTTTACCTGTCCACATTTAGAGCTGACATCCCGGCACTCATTTTTTTTCTTCTCTGTTTCGTTTTTGTCGATTGGCGAGAACGGATTACGTTTTCTTTAGCTGGTGTGTAATAGCGTGTATCCATTGCTTTGTTGTGGAGTACTGGAAGACTGAATGCTGATGCATCAGATAAACACTCCAGGGATTATTGGTCCCCAGAAAGTATTTGTATATACTGTATAATGGACTTTTGAGAAACTTTGAATACATGCACACACAACAATGTATTGCCTTTTTGTATTTAAAGGGTTAGTTCACCCAAAAATTCTGTCATTAATTACTCACCTTCATGTCGTTTCAAACCTGTAAGACCTTCGTTCATCTTCGGAACACAAATTAAGATATTTTTGATGGAATCTGAGAGCTGTCTGACCCTGCATAGACAGCAATACAACTGAAATGTTCCCAAGTCCAGAAACGTAGCAAGGAGATCTGTAAAATAATCCATGTGACATCAGTGGTTCAACCACAATTATACGAAGCTACGAGAATTCTTTTCGTGCGCAAAAGAAAAAAAAAAATCTTTATTCAACAATGCGTCTCCTCTTCATCACCCTGTAAACAGCGTATGCTGTTCTGTGTCAGCTGCGTCATGCCGGATACGCTGTTTCCTACGTTGTTGTGATTTGATCTGAAGCCAGAAATTAACAAAGGGTTGTTACAAGCAATAGACATGATGTGAATTTTTCTACAGGACCGTTTGTCACAAGACGCAATACTGCAGCAGAAACCATTTCTGATTATTTCTCTGTATATTTCAGACAATGAACAATCTTACAAATGCACGAGGGGCAAAAATAACACTGTATTTAAATGTTTAAAAAACGGTTTGCAGAGCTCCCAACTTATGCAGCTTCACATGGCAGATGCTAAACCAGAATTCAGACAATGAACTATCTGAGGATGATGATAAACGTTTTCTGGTGATTGTTGCGTATGTCCAAACAATGTAGACAGGGATTGAGCTACTTAAGATGTATTTATTGGCCCTTAAAGTACGAGTTGGAAACAAAACCTCCGGAACCATCATCCTGAATACTGGGGTCCCTCAGGGCTGTGTTTTGAACCCACTGTTGTTTACCTTGATGACTCATGACTGCTGTGCCAGTTATGACTCGAATCATATCATTAAATTCGCAGATGACACAACAGTGGTGGGCCTCATTAGCAACGAGGACAAATCAGCCTATAGAGAGGAAGTTAACCAGCTTGTCATCTGGTGTCACAACAACAATCTGTCACTGAATGTCAGCAAGACAAAAGAGATTACTGTTGACTTCAGGAGGAAACAGACAGTTCATAATCCAGTTACAATTAATGGCGGTACTGTGGAGTCAGTCAGAAGCACCAAGTTTCTGGGGGTGCATATCACTGCAGACATGTCATGGACCACTAATACCACCTCCTTGGTAAAGAGGGCTCAGCAGCATTTGCACTTCCTAAGGCTGATGAGGAGAGTAAACCTTCCCCCCCCTTACAACCTTTTACAGAGGCACAATAGAGAGTATTCTGACCAGCAGCCTCTCAGTCTGGTTTAGTAGCTGTACGGCTGCAGACAAGAAGTCTATCCAGAGAGTGGTAAGAACAGCAGAGAAAATCATCAGGATCTCTCTACCATCTATACAGGAATTACATCTGACACGCTGCCTTAGTAGAGCCTCCAAAATAATCAGTGACTCCACCCATCCTGCTAATGGACTGTTCACCCTTCTGCCTTCTGGCAAACGCTATCAACGTATGCGATGCAAGACTGCCAGGTTCAGAAATAGCTTCTTTCCACAAGCTATTAGACTGCTCAATTCACATTGACATATACAGATATACTTGTTGATGGACTGTTAAATACATAGTAGGGGTCGACCGATATGTGTTTTTCAAGGCCGATGCCGATACCGATTATTACAGATCAAGTTGACCGATAACCGATATTTTGAACCGATATATATGTCTGGTGTAAAAATTAAAATTAAATGTCAAAATTAAGAATAACAAGGGCTCTGACAAAAACTGCCTTCCCTGGTGTTGGTTGAGTGTAGTACTTCCACAGTAAACTCTTTATTTTAATGAGTTAAACTCTTTGTTTTTTGGCAAACTCTTTAGGAGGATTTTTGGTGTGCTGGTGTTCTGACAAATAATGCTACCTATCAGATTATGCTACCAACAAATCGTCAGAACACCGGCAGAACAACAACAGTGCGCTACATGTTTCTTTTCCCCTCATTTTTTCCTATTGACGGAAATTCGTCGTAGCGACGGAAAACTTTCATCCCTGAGTAGTATTACATCATACTGCACCACAGTAATATATTTCTGATAATTTCATTAAGCTAACCCGAATTTATATTTTGACGGGTTGCCATGAGGAACTTGTTTCTGTTGGTCTATGTAAATGATATGAAGATAGTTTTACTCCAAT